TCCGACACGTTGACACGAGGATATCGGATTTCATACTCAGGGTATACTAATAAAACCATTCAACGTTAAAAAAAAAAAAACAAAAAAGAAAAAAAAAAAATTCGAATAAGTGTTTTGTGTTTACACTGAATTCTTCGCAAACGTCGCATAATTATATATATATAATTCGCACAAATAATAATTTTCTCGGCATTTTGAATACGTAGTTTCTCATACCAGCTTGTTACACGAATCACGGACCAAACACAAAGTGGAAGAAATCCGTTTGAAAATATATCTCAGTAAGCAACTTGTAATATAAAATACAATTTATTGCGTATTGAATTATTTGTATAATCAGTGCCTATTGAAATATACTTACGCGTAGTTTGTGCATTATCAATAATGGTACTGTCATTACTCATTATCATATCATGTATATATATGCATATAAATATAGGTAGTTATATTATACATACTGTATAATATTATATATCGTTTAGGAAAATTTAAATGATATTTTTTTTTGAAATACGAGATTTAAAAAAATATCAATTGACAGAAAAATATGTTTTTTGCATAATATACGTAATTCAGATATCAAATATGATAAAACAATATATTAAAACGTATACAAAATATATTGGTTTGTACCTAATTCAAAAATCGATCTTATTACCTACTCATATACTATAATAGGTACCTATTATAAAATATTTATCTCGAATGTATAATAGGTGCAATCGTGCAGAATAATAAAAAAAAATTATATAAATCAATTGGTAAAGAAATAACGATAAGTAATGAAACATATATAATATAATTGCGTAATACCGAAAATTGCAAGATATGATTTTTGCATACCAAAATCCAACTGTTGCGAAAGATTGCTTGTCACAAAAAAATGACTGCAGGTAAATGATGTATAAAAACCTCACCGAAAATCATGTCAAACGGCAGTACTGCTGTATATACGTAATTAGTTATGGGAAAACGATGTGTGTTCGGAGGGAAAAACAAGACAAGTATTCGAAAAAAAGCTTCTCTTTTCCCGGTGCTCTGCCAGCCGTATAATTAGAATCGGTGTGTAGCGCCGCCATGGTGGTAAGGATAAAAAAATGGGAAACGAAGAGGCAAATTTCTTGGTACGTCGTTTGTTATCCAAATGACAGGGCCCGAGATTGGCCCCGGAGAAAGTCTTGGGGGAAAAAGATTTTATTATAAGATATCCTCTACCGAGTAATCCAATTATTAACGTGTAAAAAAAGAAAAGAATCACCGAGGATGGATGAAGATTACATATACACTATCCCCCGATCCCTTTAATCACGTTTATGTTTATATATATATATACATATCTAATATTATATTATATTGATTGAAGTTGTTTCGGCGGCCACAAAAATAATAAAAAAATAAAATACTGAAACCTATTCGTGAAAAATGCACGCTCGAAAAGCGGGTCGCGTGTGTGATTTTTTGTCGTAAGGTTATATGGAATATATGTGTCGTATATGGAACTATATATGAATCGTAATACATACAATTTTATAAAATTATTACTATATTATTCACTATTTAGGTATACAAGATAAGTCCGCTCGTGCGGGATGGACGGCGGAGAAGGACGGGACCGGGCGTGGAGAGATCACCGAAGTCGTGATTGCAAATACCAATGGCGGCCGCAGCAGTGTGGCTTATCCGAAATTAATCAATTGTCAGGTAACCCGATTTATCAATGACGGGGAAACCGGTTTTCGTCCGGGTTCACTAACCCCCCTTCGGGAGACGAAAATAATATTATAATGATGACAAAAGTCCCAAAAAAAAAAAAAAATAACCAATCTGATCAAGTTTTTCTGCCAAACACGTAGCAATAATAACATATTATTATCATTGCAATATCCGCGACAATATAAATACATGACGTATTGATGTTTATGGTAATAACTAATAATATATGCGACCGTATAATAATATAATATCATTATATTGAAAACGCCGTCGCAATAAATATTATATGTATATACGAAAGAATAATAAAAACACAGATGACCGTCGTCTATGCCGCCGCCGTCGCATCGGTAGTATAATAGTTGAGACGACCGACGATAATATTATAATATACGGCGGTGATGGTCGTATATACCGAAATAGCCGTTTTGGATCGTTTTCAAAAGGGATCCGCCGCCGCCGCATAGATCGGATGTGTCACTCTAAACAAACCGATTATTAAAAACCGCATTAAAACGTGTTTAATCTGTGTACGCCATTAGTTTGACGACACCTCTTCGCCCGCGCACCGTCGCAGTGTAGTCTCATCGTTGGCGGGGCGGCGGCGGCAGGAAGAGTTATACGCTCGGACCGGTCGACGAGCGGGGGTGGTTCGGCGGTGGCACTCGGAATGGCGAGGGGGGGTGCTGTGGCGGGGGCTGGTGGAGGTGGACCCCGGTGCTATTTCAGTACGGCTGTCATCGTGGTCGTCATATACAGTTGCCCGTATTATAACGGTGGGAGTTTATTAATATGTGCTTTAAGTCTGTCCGACGCGTACACACACACGCACACACGTGTATTTTCGATCTATTGAGAAAAAAGTCAGCGCGCGGGCGCGACAGTGTCACCGATGAACCCGTGTGTCGTTCGTGTCGAGTCGGGTGCCAAAAAAATCGTAAATTTTCGACATTTTTTTTCCTTCACTTTTCTTCGCTGCTCGTCTCTTCGGCGTGTCACTCACACTCGCATATTATACACACACACACACACACTCCGTCGGCCGACCGGGAATAGGCGTCATTATAGAAAAATCGAATGTTTTTGACACCACCGACGCCGTCGAAAGTCGTTGCCGCTAACGAGCGTAGGACACTCGCGTTTTTCTAAACTTAGCGCGCCCGCGGCTCCAATATGTATGCAGTGCAGGGTGATGCTGCAGCGGAGGGTGTCCGAGCTCACCCGGCACTATCCATATTGGTTCCGATTGAGTTGTCAAGACGTCGCAATAATAATGTTATACATTGCCCAGTCCCACCTATATTGTTGTAGGCACTTGTGATATTATGATCAAGTCCGTCCCAACCCACCTACAGACGCCTAATCGTGGACGAAGTGTCTTCGCGGCACAAAAAACGATTGTCGTCTACGACATACGTGCTCGTATGCTAAATACCATTACAGCTATAGTAATATAGTGCGACAAATCCTCGCGAAACGATGGCAACGAAGACAACGAAGGTATAGTGTTTATAATGGGTAGGAATAGCGGTTTAACCACCGCCGCACGTGTACCGACCGCTTGTGCTACCATCTATTGCCCGACCTTTGTGCCAGCGCTGAGGGAACGCCGCCCGAACAGATACCGCTGCGGGTTTATTCCATTCGCCGGTCTCGCAAACAGTCTTCACGATACAATTTTTTTTGTTGTTTTATATTGAACACAATACAGTATTATAATAGTATATTTTATTATAAACAACGAGTACATTATGTACGCATGTAGTATATATTATGTATGCGCGTGTATTTATTTAATGAGCTAAAATTCTAAAATTAAAACACGCTGTCAATTGTGAGACGTTGCCAAATAATTCTGTAAACTAATAATTTATACGTTCGAACATACGTACACAAACATTATAAACACACGCAAACACGCGCGCATAGGAAGAGACGTATTATTATTATAAAATTCACTACTGTCACTGGGCAAAGACCGTGAACGGATAGAGGTGTATTTATATCTCGTATATGATATTATAAAATATAAAGCGCCACTGAAAATTATTACAAAATCGAAAAAAAAAATGCGACAGATATAAATAAGATTTTTACGAGGCGATACGTGCGTAAAGCGATACGGACACAATAAATATGTTTAATGAATATTTTTTTCGAGACGTCACCCCGTTAATTATACATATTATCGTAATGCGCTCTAAATCTCCCCCCGCCGACGGCTGCTGTACGGCGTTTAAGTAAAATTCTATTTCGGACCGAGCAACCGTTAATCGACACCCGATGCCCTATCCTGCTTCTTGAGAACACCGTCATAATTTTAGACGTGCAACGGTCCTTCTCTATTTAATATATTAAAGTCGAACAACACTAAACGGTCGTCGCAATGGTAAATGTTATTATACGTGATTTGAATACTTATATATACGTGTTCAATTTGAAAGTCATACAGAGGCGTTTCAAAATATCTACGCAGAGATTTCAGACAGCAGTTTTTCCTAATTAATAATACCATAAAATAAATAATAATACATTGGTTTCGAAAGTTCCAAGTGGGTTCCGACCGCACTACGATTTTTTCCAATTTTCGCACGGTATAATAATAATATGTGCGTGACATGTATAATATATGATTTTTGTGGGTATTTGTTTATTTTATTATTATAAACTTGGATATACCATACCGATAAAATTGAACTTTTAATATGATTTATACACAAAAATAACTGATTTGCACATTGATATTTAAAACAAATGCTAAAAATGTCAAATGTTTTGACTTAAAACTTTTGAGCTTCAATTACAATATTATTATATATTATTTATACACTTTGCATGAAGAATATACAATAACTGCAAAATGTTATGAAAATCTAAATTACACAAAGCGTCTGAGATGACAGGAATTTATTGTATTGCTCTGGAGATTGGTTATGATTTGATGTATTATAGATAGATATAATGGTGATATCGCTGGACACGGAATTTATTGATGTTTTGGATGTTTGTCGTAAATACATCGAATAACAATAAAGTGTGAACGATTTTATAATGTTTGGCCGTGCGTTAAAGAGCCGTTTGGCCCTGCCCCTTTGCCCTCCCTATCCCGGCGGCCGGCAAACCACATACAACTGGGACGTAACGTCTGCCGATGTTTCTGTGCCAACGGTTTTTTTTTCTACTCTTTTTTTTTCCTCTTCCATTTAACCCTCGATCGTTATAACAATGTGACGTGCACTTTGTGTTAAAAAAATTTTGGTTTCTTTATCTTCTGTTTTAGTATTTACCTGTTGCCAAAATTGAGCCAGTAGATAGATACGTTCCTTTTTAAAGAGCCAATCCATAGACTGCATAGCCTGGACATCCATATCACGTGTTACGCATAATTAATGTGAAATACACAATAATTATCGTATAAGCAGCTTTTTTCGACAGGAGTTAACAAGTGAAAAATATGTACGTTGTCTGGTCTATCATCTGAAACACAGAAATAAATATTGTTTTATAATACTTAACGGCACAAGTCTAAAAATGAAAACACAGTTTTTAATAAAGTTAAAGGCGTACGAGCACTTAGATTGCATACACAAAACGCCTAACAAAACTGTTTTTTAAATGTTTTTCTCGTTTTCGTACACATCATTGTTGTTCAAAACAATTCGGAATTCAAGCAATCAATTTTTGCTTGGTATGATAAAAAATAGTTCAAAATATCAAATACGATACAATGATTATGAAGTAGGTACAATTAAAAAAATTAGATAAATGAAAATTATGTTTTAATTATAAAATATAATGTGTGACAGGCAAAATATTGGTGAAACACATTATTTTTTTTAAGCGTATATTTTATATTAGTAATTTAAGCTTTTTTGAAAATCATCTTGTGGTGTAAAAATAATCGTCATAATTAATAAATTGCGTAGTTACTTGTTGAACATCAAAAAAAAAAAAATTTGGATCGTGCACAAGTAGTAATGATCATTTTAACAATGAACAAGCTATAATTTTATTGTCGCATCTATCTATATATTTTCTAAAATCGAATAGAGTTGGAAATAATAATATTATTAAACGTACTTGTTTAATTCGTCCTCCAAATTTATAATTTCCATACCCAATGTGATTAAACACATTTTTATTGCGTAATTCTATGCTCAATTAATGTAATTGTTATTCTACTTTGGTAATTATTGTCGTTTAATTATAGCTGTCAAAATATATGGATAAATAAATTGTGTATAGGTATCTATAAATATTTACATATAAAAAAACGAATTGACAATTAATAACCTCAATTGGCAATTTATTCTGATCGTGTTTAATTACAGTATATTGAACGTGTTTATCGTTAAAGTATTATGCGGGTATAATCAGTTTAAGGTAGAAACCAATTTTTTTTTTGCAATAAATTCCAATATGAATATTATCATAGTTAATATACAGTCTGACGCACGCACGTCGAATGGGTGATGCCGATAACACTATTAAGCGGCTTATCCCTGCAGTTTTATTGTGTTTAATTATTCTACGATTAGGACTATTGTTGGGAATATTTGTTGTATTTATTTTTTTGTTTGGAAGCTTTGGAATTCAATAAGTAGGCTATCAAAATATTAAAAGCGTTAAAACAAAACACCTGACTCCAAACAATAGATACAATGTTTTTATTATTGTTTATTTTTCGTAGAAGGCGATGTATTCAGTTGATCGAAATTAAAAATTGTAATATTGACCATGAAAACATATTGATACTCGGGACTAAATTTAATAAAATCAAAAAATGTTTAACCGTTGTTGTTGTAGTGCCTAACCAATTTGTTTTGACATTAATTCAAAGTAAATTCAATAATCATTGTTTCTCTATTATTAAGGTACTACAAAACGTTTTAACCAAGTGATGATGTAAACACATGTAACATCGTGATTGATTATATTAATTATTATTTATGATAAAATGTTATTGTATCAGTAATATAATATTGTAATTCGGTCAAATAATAACAAAAAATAAAATATACTAATCCGAAAATATATTATAATATAGTTTAATATGTAGGTATATTATATAATTTGTGGGCATATTATGTGCCAAAAAAAATATATAGTTATGTTGAATATTATTGCTTTTACTTATTTTACTGAATATTACAAATGTTAGTGTAGAAATTATCTTAAGTTATCTTAAATTATCTTTGAATAAGTTCTATAATAATTATTAAGTATTGATTAAATTCAATAATTTTATCAGAATAAAAAATGTAATTAGGTACAACTCAATAATAATATTTCGCAATTATTAAAAATTTAAGTTAGGTTTATGGTATAAATAATAGGTACATTAATCTGAACAATAATGATTAATAATAAAGAAAAACAACATTACTTTTAAAATTTAAATAGTACCTAGTTCGTGTTTATTATTTTCCCCGATATGATAAAACAACTGAATAAGTTATTGCGTAAATTTTATAATATTTCAGGGTAAAAACAAGTAAAAATTTATATTTTATAATTATACTTAACAATTTAGATTTCCTACACTTATAATTTATATTAATAATTAAAAGCGAATTTAAATTGCAACAAAAGTTGATCGTATTTATTTTATAAAATATTTTATTTGTATAACCTGTTGGCAGATGTTTGGAAATAATACGGGGTTAACATTTTTTTAGACCTAATTGTTTCAAAAAATACAATAGTATTATTCGTAGATGTACATATTTTTATTAATTTAAAATTTACAATTTCGTGAAGTGAATTAATTGACTTTTTTTACATAGGTAGGCACCGGAAATGTGATTTTTCGGAGAAAAAATTGTTTTGCACGGAAAGTGAAAAAATAACAGGTTGAAATTCAACGATAACATTTTAAAAGGTGATACACCCACACCACGCATCACTTATATATATATCATAAAAAAAATGTGCATATCATAATAATAAAGACTCACCTCTTCGAACGCACTCGAATGCGCTGCTACAGCAGGAACACCGGGTATGACAGGTCAAGATCGCCTACCCGGTTCGCGGGTGATTAAAAAAAAAAAAAAAAAATACTAATTGGAATGTTCAGAGTGGAGAAAAAAAATGTTATAAGAAATTTCTTTCACGAAAAATACCCCAAAAAACTTTTCAATCGCAAAAATGTTTCAGCACTTGTTTTTTTGTACGGGTACGACACTGTTTGGGAGGGTATTTCGGGCGCACAAAAATCGACGAGTGTATCGTAATAAAAAAAAATTAAACAAAAAAAAAATTAGATTTTTTTTAATAAACGATAATGATAAAACAACAACGACCGACGACGGCAATGATAGGTAATGGCGGCGGTAATGTAATAGGACAGTGATAAAATATTATGTGGTAGTAATTTTATATTATATTATTTTCGCGTGTAAGACGGCGGCGTCGGACAATGTGATCAGCAGACGCGGCGACGGCGAGACACAAACACCACACGATAACGACGACGACGACAACCGGCGACGACGACGAACAGCACACGCGTGTCGACACCGCGCATACAATCAGTGACGACTGGCGAGCGAACGGCGCTCGGCGGATACCGGTGGGCCCGACGACGAGACGACGCGCGGCGGCGCGGTGACGACGATATCTCCGGCGCGAGCGGTCCCCGTGCACTCCTGCCCTCTGCCGGCGGCGGCGTCGGCGACGTCGACGGCTGTACGACGACCGCGGACGCACGGCGCACAATCCTTTACCCTCTATTATAGCTCCGCGTTATTTCTTCCTTTTTATTTTTTTTCTCCTCTCCTCTCCTCAGTCGTCACACGGTCGCCGTGTCCTCTCTCTTCCTTTTTTCCGTTTCCGATTTTCCACCACCACAGCCCGTCCGCCTTTTTATTTTCTCTCTATTTTTTCCTTCTCCCCCGCAGCCCCCGTTTTGCAACCCCCCCACGACTGACGTTTTCTATTTTATGTATACACATCGCTTTTCCGTCGGTCCGTCTCTTCCTATACATTATATGGGTTGCACGCGAATCGTATGATATGTTTTTCCATGTGCGTATATATACCTATATATATTATCAATCACCGGGCACGGCGATATTGCTACGGCCAATCGGCGTGTGCGACCGGCGGCCGACTTAGGCGCACATCGCACGGCGGCGGCGCGCGCCGGGTCGTAAGTGCGTCACTTTGGCGCGCCGATCGGTTTTCGCTTTTCTTTTTTTTCCCGATACCGCCGCCAATACACCGCAGTCGATCGCGAACGCCCATCACACCTGCGACCCGCCCGTGCCGGCAAAATATATAAGGTACGACTACATGGCACGGCTTAAATTTTTTTTTCGCCCGAAAATGAGATCATAATGTAGCCATTAGGCCTTGGCCTTTCGATATCCGCGCATGTAGACGAGAGCGATTGAATTTTTTTAGAGTTCTTGTCCTGGTTTGTCCCGACGTTTCTTTTCGTTTTTGCCGAAAATTTACAACTAACCTTCCGTAGGTACTACAAAATTTAGACTATATGACATGTATATTTATATACTTGCTGCAGGTACATTGCATGTTCCGCACGAATCCAAACGCTTGGTATTATCTGTTATTCTTGCAAAATTAATGCAAATCAGACTTGCCGACGGTTTAAAAAATTATTAAATTGTATTTTATTGACATGTGTATAGGTATAGTATTTACCTATACACACCATGTCCAGTACACATATATTATAGTTGGTTAAATAAAATCTTAATAAAAATTGTGTACTACTCATTAGATAATATATTTATAAGTACCTAAGATATACCTATTACCTATATGGCTATATACGTCACTTTATAATATATAATCTAATAAATTATATATACCTACACATTAGAAATGCACCTAATAACTTTATGTGCAATTCATTTAGGACGCATACTTTTTGATGGCTTAACTTGTAGTAAGTGCTTAATATTTATTAGTAGGTATATTCTCAATAATATTTATATTATACATATTATTATGTTTAACATTCCAATTTTAAAAAAGAGTTATAAATACATATAATATAAACCTTCGTGACTGAAGAGTTATTGACTTGGGAAAAATAGAGGAACTATATTATATTATACTCATTCCTCATCATACAATTTATCTGATTTTTACGAATATAGCAACGTTTTAAACGATTTATTTATACTTTTTATAAGTGTTAATTGTTGGTATACACATAAAAATAAAAACAACTAGCAGCAAATGCAGAAAAACTATTATAATCTTATATAAAAAACTTTAATTATATTTTAAAAACTATATAATACAATATACCTAAGTAGGAAAATAAACATGAATATAAAAAAAAAAATACACCACTTGTGTGTCTTGTATAATACACATTTTTTCATCCATCTGT